CAAACAAACAAATAAAGCTAAGTAAAATAATTCTTTAAAAAAAAAAAAAAAGAAGGGACCAGCAATTAGCATAATGGCTATGTTGCTGAATTCCCACAGAGTCGACTGCGGTTTGAGTCCTATACCTGGTGGTGGCTTAAACTCATGCCAGGTGCATGTGCGTGCATGTGTGCCCAAGATCCTGAGAGGAGACCGGAGGAGAAGGGATTGCAGCATGGCCATCCCCCTTGGGGAGGTGATTTCTAGCTTTCTGTCTCTCTGTCTCTCTTTCTCTGTCTCTCTGGTCAGTGCACACACTCTGTAGCAAAAACCTCTCCAAAAAAAAAGAAGAAGAAGAAAAAGAAAAAGAAATGAGCTCCCAAAAGGATGACTATACCTGTTCAAGAGGCAACAGGTAATTTACCTGCCATATGGCATCTACCCATATTCTGTTACCTTATAAACAAACCCACATCCTGCTGTTTGCACTGAATATTCTTGTTAATACGTGCCATGGTACCACATGTTAGCTTAGCTTCAAGGTGTTTTGGATATTTTTAACTATCGTCACACAAAGTATATGGAAGTCATTGTTTTGGACTAGTCTCCCGCACTGGGCCCCAGCAGACCAGACTGAAGAATGGGGGGTGCTTGTGCTGATACGTAACCTAACTGAACTTTGGGAGCGGTTTTCCAAAATCACAGGATATTCCAGTCAATATGAGCTGGCATAATGAAGAAGTCCTCTCTGTTTAACCCTAAATTTAGGGAAGTAAGTTTGAAAAGACCAGTCTTCCTTTTGCTCCCTATTTCTGCTTTCTTCAGCCTGTTTCTGTCTATGAAACTAATCTCCTCTGCTCAGTTCACTGGAACACTCATTCTATTTTGTAGAACAAGGTGTTGCTTGCTTCTATAACTGCAAATAAAAACCATATTAAAGATCTTTAAACTAAATTTGTTGTAACTTTGCCTTTTGACACTATGTACACAGTAAGCAGAAATGTGTTATTTATTTGTTATCATGTGAAAAGTCCACTTTTATATTTCTCCCAGCTTTTTTTAGTGCACACACGTGTGTGCACATGCCTTACAGAGCTTTGGGAGGGAGAAGAAATACCTTTGCAGAGTCTTAAACTTTGGCAGCTGTTACATAAATCAGGCTGAACCCTAGCATCCTAGAGGAGGAGTGACTGCTCAAAGGCTTCTAAGTAGGTATGGCAGATTAAATGGGAGAAATGGAAAACTGCACTTCCAAGATGTCTAGGAAAACTTAGACCCATCACTATGTAGCCTGGGAATGCTAGGCAGGTTATATGAGCTCTCCGTGCTCAGTGGCTTCATCTGAAAATGAGAATAATAAAAGTACTTACTGTATAAGGTGTCATCCAAATCAAGTGAGGACATATGGATCGAGCACTTAAAATGGTGCCTGGCATACTTTGTGCATAATGCGTATGTAGGGAAGAGCACAAACATGGAGTTGGCAGTCAGTTGCCTTCTCCATGCTCCCTCTAACTGGGGAAGTCTGAGCCACTGAGTCTAGAGTAACAGACTCTTTCCATCTAACCTTGGGAAAAAGAAATACAGTCCAGCTTGAAATGTTGACACTCGTATGCCAAAAGCAGATCATTTTTATGTGGATTGGTCCATCACTTCAAACTGACATAGAGCTCCCACCTCAAGGCCAAGACTTTCTAAGACCTTTGCTGAAGTCAAGGTGGGGACGAATTTGATTTAGGGCTATAAAAAGAAGAATATTTCCTAAAAATATACTGCGCTGAGAAATGGCGCAGTATAATCTGAGTAGATAAATTATTTAAAATATTAAAACAACTTGTAAATTGCTTCATTACGATGAAAATGAAGCAAAAGGGTTTTTAACAGATGTATTTGAAATTGTTTTAAACTCTTTTTCTCATCATATTACTTGACTAAATTTGCAGATAATCCTTTTATTCATTGATTTTCTTCATTACTCATCACTATTACTACTGTAGTGGGAAATTTTCATGAGGTATTCATAATAATTATGGTTGTTAACATTTATTAACCACTCACACATATTAAGTATTGTACTAGTCTCTTTGTAGAGAAACAGTCTTCAAAAATGCCATCTATATACTAAAATGCCAGTTTATAAGTCTAACCCTAAGTTGATCCTCAGCTCTGTGTTCACATATACAATTGCTTGCTTGATGTGACCAGGTGAATGTCTGATGCACATCACAAATTTGACATGACTGAAAATGACCTTCTCACCCTCTCCTTCAAACTTGTTCCTTTCAAAACATTCCACGTTTCAGTCAACAGTAACTCCGTCTTTTCAGATGTTCTTGCCAAAAGCCCAGGAGTCATTCACATATTCATCTCTACACAACTTGGTACTTGCACACTGGGGATGGCTGTTCTCATCTCCTGTCTAGGAGGGTTCCTGACTAGCTTTGGATCAATCAACACATTCCACTTCCCTAGCCACAGGCCAATCAGAGTGAAGCTCAAGAGTTTTGTCCAGAAAGATGGAGAGGAAGAAGTGTCTTCTCTCTTACTGGATTATAGTTCCATTGATGACCACAGTCATGCTTCAACTGGGAGGGGAGAAAACCTTGGTACAGAACCGTTACCATGAATAACAGAGCATGGAATAGAAAGAAGGTGGTTCTTGCAGAGGTCATTAAGTTTTCAGACCAACAAAACCTGAAGCTTCCCTGACCTTTGAACTTTCCAATCATATGAGAAAATACATTTCCTTGTTGTTTAAGTCCTGGGTTGGAACTTGGGTTCATGTAGATGAAAGCATCCTAAACAGAGATCCATGGTCTTTAGAACAAGTTTTTACTTGTGCATCAACTTGAATATATTTTGGTAAAAATGGAATGAAGAGCATTTTCAATTTCTCGTATTGTCATACCCCAGTGTCTTTGCCTATGCTGTTCTCTTTCC